CCCTTCTACCCAGGAAAGAGGTTTCTAGGTTATTTTTACCATTTTCTAGGCTTAGATGATAGAGTAAAATAGACCAACAGTCTGTGTATCAGAAAAAAAAACCAAACATAGAGCTTTCCTTCTCAATCATATGATTATTCTTTATGAAAAACCAAGACCTTTATAAAAGCCATCAACAACACTTTCAAATGACAATTAGAAAGAGGTCAAAGGCAAACTTGGGGGTAGTAGTGACTTATTTGCTATCAGTAAAAATAAGTCTTAGAAATGGAACTAGAAATGGAGCTGCTTTCAGTTACTTCAGTTGTTAATCCCATTAGCAATGAGGATTAACACTGTGATGTTCGAACAGTCTCTTACTTGCTTAGCTGAATACCATCTGACTCAGGAAGCCTTCACTGATCTTCCCACTCACCCGATGTACCTTTCCTCAATTCCTTTTCACACTAGCCATTTCTGCTTAATGTTGCTTATATTACTTGTTTGCTTCTCTCTAGTGGAATAGAAACTACCAAAAAGCCAGTGAATTTTTAAATTTTTGTTATTCAGGTTTATATTATACATTAAGCATACAGCCCACACACATTTGTGCTCTCTGCTTTCTCTCTCCTGTCCCTCATTTTTGTCTCCTTTCTTGCCGTAGACAGGTTTACTTTTGCTCCCATAACCACAAATGAGAGAAAACACTTCACTATTTCTCTCTTGAGACTGGCTTAATCAGTCTAGAGAATTGATTCTCTCCTGATGCATCCACTTTCCTGCAGTGACAAAAGACAAGGGGTTTTGTTTCACTTGTTTCCTCAGTGCTTAAAGCAGTGCTTAGCATAAATGTGCAATAGATATGCTTTGAGAATTTAATAATAGAGCTTCTAGATTTTTTAGTGTTTATTTATAAAATTAAAAATATTTATGTGAAGGAGATAATACTTGGAGAAATTTCATCAAAGCTTATTGGGTTAGATATTTTATAGTCCATTTGATTTGTTATATGTCTATATTAAACTTAAAGTTTAATTAATAAAGAAGTTGAATAATAATTACTACCCTCTTTTTAATAACTATAAATAACAAATATTATTAAATGAAAAATCTCTTTTTATATTAAAATTCCATTAATTTGTCAGTATAAATTCCTAAAATATTTTGTTCTTTAAAATATTTATATTGAAATTATTTGTATTATTTATTTTTGTTGCATGTGTGGGTATATTACCAGCATGTATGCATGTGCATGCTGCTTACTTAGGGCAGAAGAGGGGATCAGAGACCCTGGAACTAGAGTTAAAGATGCTTGTGAACTGCCATATTGGTGCTGGAAACCAGGGTCTCTGGAAGAGCAGCCAGAGCTCTTAACCACTAAGCCATCTCTCCAGATCCTCATTTAGAAAGGCTTGAATATAATTTTCTACTAAATTATTTGAAGAACTTTAGTATCTTTTAAACTAAAAATTACCTTAAAGAAAAAACTTACGGGCTATCCCAGAGTTGCCATCAACTTATAAAACACTTAAATTTTTTTAGTTGTTGACTTATTTTTACGTTTCATAGTATAATTATATGTTTCATGTCCTTTCCTCCTCCAGCCCTGCCCATGTTCCACTTGTTTTATTTTCCACACATTCATCCCATATGGACATTGCAGCTTTGGTCATCAAAACATTTGAAAGAGAATAAGATATTATCAAGAGTATGTTATATAACACCATTTCTTATTAGGATGACCTTGAATGAACTATTTAATCTCATTTTCCTCCTTTGTTGGATGAATATTTATTTAAAGAATTTGCTACCAGTATTTGATGTGATTTTTGTAAGAGAATTAATGATAAAATGTTAAGATGTATATGTGACACTGTTGGACTGTGTTTCTTCTCCTCCCCGTTCCCTGAAAGAGACTTCTTACTACCATCCTTACTTGTCTATTTTTAGGGATAATCATTTTCTGAATACTTAGGAAATTAAGCATTTGAATTTTAACATCCTTACATAATTATCTTCCTGATTATTAATAGAACTGCTGTATTGAAGAGAGATCTACTTCTCATTTTCCTTTCTTATTGTTAGTAGTTTCGATTTTTAAATTATACTTACTTAATTATTTCTTTATTTATCTTGTTTCTCTCTGGAGACAGGAGAGGAAAACACAGTTGCTTAGGTCATGGCATTTGCATAGAAGTCAGAGGATGTTTTGTTAGTCCTCTTCTTCCATTGTGAAAGTCCTATAGATGGAACTTAGGTTATCAGACTGGTGGCCAGTGCATTTTCCTGGTGAACATCTCACCAGCCTGACTGTAGTATTTTTAAACTCTGTATTTTCCCACAAGTTGTGCTCCACTTTTATCCTCACAGGTTTTTCAGGCAGGGCAAATTTTAAGTTGAAGGTTTTGTTCCTGAGTTGGTGTCCCAATCCCTCCACTGGAAGCCTTGTCTGATTGTATTTTTAAATTGTTTGATTTTCAAATTAATGCATATGATCCAAGGAAAATGGCTCATTGATAAATCTTGTTCTTAGACTTTCAGTTGATCTAACTACAAGTGATATTTTTAAAGTGACTTGTAAAAGATTATGAAGTAATAAATACTATAGAATACATATGTAAATATATAGAAACAAGGAGAATAGGAAAGTGGTCATTAGTTGGTAACAGATATAAACACTATTAGTTGAAAGCTTACAAAGTTCTAGGCCTTGTTCTAGCTGTTGAGGAAAAAGCTGTAAACGATAGAGACAAAACTCTGATTCCTATGTAATAGAATACTTAGGGTATTGGTGACAATAAATTTAATGTCATAAAATAGGTGAAAGAAGCTAGATTATGTTTGGCTAAGGTATAGTTTCAAATCAAATGACTGAAACATCGCACCAGCATTACCACTTATTTTTAGAAATACTTTAAAATACGTTTTAGATTCATTTTATAGGTACAGCATATAATTGGTTTTGCTTTGTAGTAGTCTGTCTCAGTAAGTAGTTTCAGCTTATTCATACTGACCTCTGACATGGTTTTCACTGAAGTCTGTTATTGTTGTTTCTTATGAGTGTTTTTTTGTTGTTGTTGTTCTCTGTTTTTCTTTTTCTCCCTTTTTCTTCCTCTTTCATCTCCCTGCTCCTGTTCCTTGATTTCCTTGACATCCATGTGCCACCAGGCTCAGCTCAGACAGGATTTCACTGTGTAGCTCAGGCTGGCCTTGCTTCCTGGGCTCAAATGATCCTGGTGTCGGTGTCATGAGCTCTTTGGTTTTTTTACTGTGAGCTCAGATTGCTTGATGTAGCAGTTTCCTCTGTATGTTCTTCTTCTTTAATACCTGGAGAGTATCAATTGCTACAACTACAGTGCCCACTTCACTGCCATTAGCTAGCAAGCTTACACACTGAAGCAAACATCTTAGAGGAGTGTTTATAACATAGTGGGTTTACTCTGTTCCTTTCCTGTTGTTTTCTGCTGCTGCTGACTGAACCTAGGTCCTCATGAATATTAAACAAGTTCTCATCCACAGAGTTACATCTCCAGCCAATGTACTATCCTTTAAACCTTGACTCTATTCTAGTGTGTGTATTTTATTTAGTTCTTATGTACATTTTTTATTTTATGCATTCCTGAGTGAAATTAACTTTTCCTTTCTCATAATATTACCGTGTGAAATAAAGTTATATTGGTGGTATTATGAAAGAATTTGTTTCTTATCTAAAGCTTTATTGAACTTCTTAAAAATCTCGAATATTTGATAAAATTTAGCCTATAAAACTTTATATAGCATGTTTGTAGAAATTATTTGTATTTATTTTGCTTTTTCAATTATAATTGTATCATTTCTCCCTTTCCTTTCCTCCCTCCAGACCCTTCCATATCCACCTCCTTGCTCTGTTTTCATTTGTTACTAACATACATATACGTATATATACATGTATAGATATTCCTAAATAAAATCTACTCAGCCTGTATAATGTTGCACATATGTGTGTTTTCAAGGCTGACCATTTGTTATTGGATAATCAATAGGTATGGCCTTCTCTGGGGAAGACTATTTCTCTGTTTGTGGGAACTTTTTTACTGATTTGATATCATTCACAGTCATATGAATGTTCAAGTTTTCTATTTCTTACTGAATCTATTAGTAATTATGATTCTATTAGTAAATCAGCTCATTAACATTTTCAAAATTTTATATTATGATGTTTAAAGAACTCTCTTTTAATGTCTTTTAAATTTCCCTTATACTGGGAGATGACATTACTTTTTATGTTGATCCTTTTTACTTTCCTTTTTTGCTCTTTCACACCCAGACTCACATGGTCAGGATTTTCCTTACTACTTCCTGTCTCACCTCTCATTTCCCATGCTACCTTGATCACTTCTCTTATACAAGGATCATGCCGACTTTTAAGTATAGATTATGATGGGCATTCTCTCGTTTTCTCCTCGTCATGCTACAAACTGCTGGGGAGTGACTGGTTCTTCTCAGCTTGCTGCCTTCTCTCTGATAAAGTTAAGAGTTCCCTCGATGACTTTGTTGTATCCACAGCTATCAGCTGCTTGTAGAGAATGGATAAGCTATGGTTGCCCAGGGGAATGGGATGTAAAGTGAATGAATGAACGAACGAGTGAGCGAATGGATGGATGGATGGATGGATGGATGGATGGATGGATGGATGGATGGATGGAAGAATCCTACTAGAAAGCCATTCCCAAATTATCCAGAGTGTCTCATCTCAGAGACACTTGTTTCTTCTTTGGGCATTCTCATACATTTTATGTTAATGCTTCCGATTTGTAAATCTCACCTTAAGAGTAGTGATGTAACCAGTGAGGCAGCAGGCCATGCTAGCTTGCCATTTTGTCAAAACAGTTAAGTCTTCATAGCAGAATTGTTATAATTCTGTCCTTACTACTAAGTATTTTTTAGTTTGTTCACCGGTCTTAGAAAACAGAAGTGTGAATTTTAAGAATCAAATTGGAATTGCCATTTCACTGTCTTCTTTCTACCTTTGACCTTTCCAGTTCTGACAGCATCAGCAGTGACGAGGAGGAGCTCAGGACGTTTGGGAGCAGTGACAGTGAGGGCAGCACCCCGGAGAACGTGGGGCCCCCTCTCATCATGGATGAGAACAGCTGGTTCAACAAGTGCAAGAGAGTAAGGCAGAAATACCAGCTTACCCTGGAGCAGAAGGTACTTAGCTGTTCTCAAAGCCACTTGTTTTAGAATGGCAAAGATCTTTTTATGTTGTTTTATTTAGATAGCTTTCAACTAATGAAAATTGTGTACTCATTGCTACTTCCCCTTTACTTCTGAATTGGAAACTTATTTAAAAATAGAGATATAAGGCAGCAGGTTAGAGGTACCCAGGAGAGACCCACTAAAAGACTCAGAATAGCTGAGATGGCTAGGTGTGGTGGCACTTACCTATAATCCCAGCACTTAGGAGAAGACAGAAGAATTGAGAGTTGCTATGTAGCCTAACATAGCAAGACCCAATTTTAATAAAACCAAAGGGCTGAGGAGGGCTAGCTAGCTTAATGGTGGAACATTTGTATTGTACGCACAAAGCACTGGATTAGATCCCCAGCACCATAAATAGCAACAATAAACCCTTGGAGAGAAGCTACTCAACATGTGACTCTAGGAAAACAGTGAAGTTAAGCATCGTGCACATCACTTGAGAAAACCATGCACTTTGATAGTGGGATAATTTTCCAGTATTACTGTATAAGAAGTTCGAAGTGAAAGAGGAAGAGAGCCAGTGAGCACAGGTGGACACTGGCACTGTGCAGAAGTGCAGTGGGAACACAGTGACCAGCCTGAACAGGGTGGCTTGGCGCTGGAGAATTTCTCTGCACTTTCCAGCATATATTTGGGAAGCTATTTTGAGAAAGTCTTGTCTGAGCTTGCTGCTCTGGGAATCAAAGTGCCTTGAACTCTGTTTCCAGGAACTGACAATAAACACAATTATGCTGATTTGAGTTGGAGTCTAGTCCACTGGGAGATTCTGTGAAGTAAAGTGACTGAGGATTCTGTTCAAAGTGAAGCCTGTCTATGACAGGGATGCAGCTGGGTACAGTCCCCTCTGAGACTGTTACCTGATTCTGCTTAAGAGATGAATATTGAAGCCCAGGAGCCCTGGATATTGGCAATGAATGGCAGACCCATGCTGCCCTAGATAGTGCGAGGGATCCTAGGCCCTGTAGCATCATCTGCACTCCTATTCATCCCATGGAGAATGCAGAGCAAGAGTCTCCAGAATAAACCTGCAGCGGCTGTGTGCTAGCTCCAGATCTTACTTGGAACAAATGCCCATGTCACCTATCAGGAACCAAGTGGAAGAAGGAAAGAAGTGGAAAGGTCTAGACTTCGCTTTCCTCAAGGGCACATAACTAAGAGATGTGGAAAGAAACCACTCCCAGAGACAGCAATGTTTGCCATCTCATTTTAGAAGAAAGGAAGTTTTCATTTTTATTTTAAAAGCTTTATTATTTATATGTGGGTGTCACACACATGCACACACATACACAAATGCACAAGAATGCAAGTGCCACAGCATGCATGTGGAGGTCAAAGGACAGTTTGGGGAGTAGATTCTCTCCTTCTGTGGGTTCCAGGGATTGAATCTAAGTGACCAGATGTGGGCAAATGTACCTTTACCTGCGGAGTCACCTTCTGACCTTTCTTACCTGATTTGCTTGTAAGCTAATCATTGATGAAGTTTAAATCCTCATAACCCAAAATTCCCTGAGCAGGGCTGTATCAGTAACCATGTCGTCAATAAATGAGTCTTCAGAAGACATTCTATACTAAAACTAAAATAAAAGTGGAAAAATACCCATCTCAACAGAGTTTCATGAACAAAATTTAACATACAAACAGGAGATATTACTGCAAAGGGCATGATCCCTTAAAAATTTCATAATTCTCTTGTAATTGATTCCAAAGATAACAAAGTAAAAGATATACCAAACAGTTTAAGAAGAATGCTTTTAAAGAGTACTTAATGATTTTTTTTATGTTTTTTTCCTTCTTCATTTTTGGAACTTAATGTAACTGAAAACAATGTGAATTAGCAGATATAAATGGCAATTATCCAGGATTTGTAAGACTTAGAAAAGAATGGAATAAGGAAGATAATTATCTAAAATGTAAGCAGAGAACAAAAAATTCAAAGGAAGTGAAAGAATAGAATAACTGATATAGACAAAATAAAACAATAGAGATTAGCAGAACCGAATGGTGATTATTTACCACACTCAATAAATTGGAAAAATCCATAGCAGAATAATTTACTCTAAAAAGTTAAGACACAGATAAGCAGTTTTTTTCGGTGAAGAGCATAGGCAGCATAACAAAAAAGTAGCCAAGACCTTGCCAATAATTATTATTAGAGAATAATTGTTATAATGCCATGCCTTAGGAAACTTAAATGAAGAATTTCTTTATATATCACTTAGGAAAACTGATACCCTCACACTCTTTTGAAAAATTAAGTAATCTTCTAAAAATCATTTCCCAGAACTAATGAAATCCTCAGATCTGTGGTTTGGGAACACACTCTAGCAACTGTGGTAACAGCAGTGCTCTCTACTGTACGGTGACTGTTTCTAGTACTAGACAAAACAGAAGGGATTTAAGCAAATCAGTATATCCTTAATATTTGTGCAGTCATAGAAGCATAATTCATGGTAGAAATATGATTAGTATAAAATGTAAAAGCAGTAGTAAGAACAATTAGACATCTGAGAATTGTGAGACTGTACTGGGCTTATTCCTCAGAAGTTATGCTCCTGGGAATTCTGGATGTGTGGGCCAGGAAACATATAACTGTGTTCATAGCATTATTATTAATAATAACAAAAAAATTCTGAAATAATTCTAATGGCCATTGACTAGACAGGGATTAAATTATAATATTCATACAATGAAATAATATATAGTATTGAAAGCAAGTGGACTATTTGACTAAACTCACCAATGTAAATGAAAAAGCAAGTTTCAAAAGAGTAGAGACAGAACTCAGGGACATATTTCAAGACAACATTTGTGATTTAAAAAAGAAAAAACAGGAAGAAATGGAAATGATAAACACATATCTCAAGATACTGCCATTCCTGCAGATTACAGAAGATCAGTATACTGGCTCCTACTATAGTGGTAATTAACTGAGATAATAGATTGTTTATTGTTTAATTACTAATGCCTCAAATATTTATATATAGTTTGTATTAAATATATATAAAGACTTGTTTTGCTTATAAAATTATTTTCTATGATTGAGATTCTATTATGAACTAAATATATGAAATTTATTGTAGAAACTGTCTTCAGGGGCAAATAATATGATCCACTATTAATTAGGTATCCTGAAAAGAAAGAAAGCAGTTTGTTAATATCACAAACAAGATAGCACTTACTATGATGTAAGTACTACTTCAGGCTCCATATCCCTCACTGCTAGAAGTTTCAGCCAGAGTCACCCCAAAGAATCCCTGGACCCTCCTCCATCCTGGGTCTCTGGCACCCCCTATCTCCCACTGCTGATTTCCATTCTTCCTTAAATTACATATAAAATTTCTGAAATAAAACAAAATGTTTCTCAGTGGTTAGAGTGCTGCTTGCTCTCACTGAGGGCCTAGGCTTAATTCCCGTCACCAACATGGTAACTCACAGCATCTGTAACTTCAGTTCCATGGATCTGAAGCCCTCTTCTAGCCTCCATGGGTACCAGGCATGCTCATAGAGCACACTCACATACATGTAGTCAAAATGCTCATTCATTTAAATAAATTTTTAAAAATTAAATAATTTTTAAAACTGTCTTTAGGAGCTAGAAAGATGTCTCAGTCGTTTAAAGTGCCTGCTGCTCTTACTCTGTGAGAGTTCCGGTGCTAGCACTCTCATCAAGCGGCACACAACCACCTGTAACTCATTCAGGGGGTCTAATGTCTTCTAGGCTCTTTAGGGAACCTGCATGCACAGTTGTACATATAAACTCACACACACACACACACACACACACACACACACACACACACACACACTTGATTAAAAAATAAAGGACCTAGAAGTCCTAGAATGCATCAGGGCCATGGGGTATGACCGAAGCTTCAAACTACCAGAAGTAGCTCTTGCTCTATGATTTCTGGGTCCTGTCCCTCCTTATTCCATGGTAATTCCTAAGGCAATTAAACCCACTGAGATGAGCTAGGCATGGTCCATACTTAATTCCAGCACTCAGAAGGCAAAGGCAGGCAGATCTCTTGAGTTCCAGGACAATCTGCTCTACAGAGCCAATTCCAAGATAGCCAAGGCTACACAGAGAAACAAACAAGAGAAAAACCTCACCAAGGGTTTAGGAACCTCCCAAGTCTAATCTCAGCTACTGGTACAATACTCTAGCAGAGAACAGTATGTGGTTAATAACATTAAGAACATTCAAAAGCAGCTGGCTTCTCAGGGTCATATATTTGAATTTGACTCCTTTAAGGAAAGGTGTAGGCTTGCTTGAAGGAAAGAAAGCCAAATTTTATTTACTCAAACTCTAGCCTTGAGGTGGCAGAAGTGAGAACAGCAAAGTAAGACAAGATGTCTGTGGATCCTGTGGCTTGGGAAGTATAGTTCTTGACTGCACCACATTTCAAAACTACCTATTTGAAGCTGTGTGTGTGCATTGTGAAGTTGAACAACTTATTTCAAGGCAGTAAAAGGCATCGAGACTTTAGGCCCATCCAGATTTAAAAATGTACAGAGAAGTTTCTTTGCATCATGGAGGGACATTTTGGTAAACTCCCGGTGAGTGGGGAGCTGTTTTGCAGACAGTTTTTCAGTTTTCTGAAACATCCTGCCCCCCAAAGTTAAATGTGAGGATATGGATCTTGTGAGTGAAGAAGAATCACTGCATTCTCAAAAAGGAAACTGCAAAGATACAGGAGTACACAGCCGAATACTGAAGCTGCAAAGATACAGGAGTATGTGGCCAAATTACCTACTAAGCAGTCCTTCCTTTCAAAATTAGAAGAGCAAAACACTTCAAGAAAAGGCAGAGACTTTGACTTTATCTAAATAGCTTGAAAGAGGTACCAGATGTCACAAAACTTGTGATTTTAGGGAGAATTTGATGCCCCTGGACCAGAACTCCAGAAAACTCCAGAATATTAACAAAATAGAAGAGGGGTATAGAGATGGCTCAGTGGTTAGAGTACTTCCTGCTCTTCCAGAGTACCTCCAGGTTCAATTCCCAACACGCTTATGGCAGGCCACAATCCTCTAAAACTTCAGTTCCAAGGATTCTGGAACCCCCTTCTGGCCTTCACAAGCACCAGGGATGCACATGGTGCATAAGCATTTGTGTAGGCAAAACACACAGAAAAAATAAAAATAAAAATGGCATTGTGGAAAGGAATATATTGATTTCTCAATAGTAAAAGAAAAGAGCATTTTAATAGTAGCTTTTCTTTGCTCACTTTTGTTTTGCATCTTGTTTTAATCCAATTTTCTAAAGTGGTTACACATTGCCTTGAGCTAATCTTGAAACATCTGTCCATGAGGCCCCTATCTAATATGTAGAAAGGAGTCCTTGATTCGGCAGTAGCTTTCTTGGGGCATGCCTACAGATGTGAAGCTATGGCAAAGACACTTGTAAAGTTATACTTTGGTCATGAATCTTTTGTGGCCTTAGTGAGAAAAGAGTTTAAACAGATGACTCTTTCATTACCTGGTCACTACATCTTGCCTCAGACAACACTACAACACTGACCATTCCTTTTGCTAGTCAATAGTAACTTCACCTTACATGGGAAAGTTGACAGCTGGCTGTAAGAAAGAAGTAGCAAAACAACAACAACAACAACAAAAAAAACAACTTTGGTCTTTGGTACAGAGAAGGAAGTTGCTTGTGTTTCCAAAATAAATCTTTATTAATGAGCAAGGCTCTGGTGATGTTAAACAATTAACCTTGGAATTTATCAGGAGATATTGGATGAAAGAAGTAGATCTCAATGGAGAAAAAAGCATGGGCATGCATATCCAGAAATGAAATAGTGTTTTCAGACTCTTGGGTTTTATACCAGTTTGTTAATAGTAAAGTTAATTTTGGAACCTGCCTTGTACCCACTGTTGAATTAACTTATTTGATAACTCCTGTGAGCTTCAAATACACAGTGCCTGACAATTGAGAAGAGAAGCAGTAATTACTTTGAAGGTGTCTTCTGCCTTCCATGTCTTCTAAAGAGTGGGATCTAGAGTTGGTTCCTTGTATATACAAAGTGTAACTTGAGAGTATTAATACTTGTAATTAGATATACATGGCCTTAGAAATCCTGTGTTTGTCTAAATCTAAAGCCTCATTTATGTCTTGTGCAATAAATAATCCTTTCACTCTGGAACAGGAAGACATAGGCAGGAGGTGAAAATTCCAGGTCCAGTGGAATACATAACCAGTCCCTGTCTGTCTCTTGCCCCACCCTCCGCCATAGTGTTAAAGAGTGCAAAGAACACATTAACCTTCTATAGTCAGTTAAGATCATTCATCACTAATATCTTAAGATGTTTCATTATGAAATAGATGAAAATAATGCAGAAGGAGCTCAGCATTGATCTTAAGAGATCACAATTTTGCAGTTGACATAAAGATAATATATATCATGATACTATATTTCCAGGGCTATCTTGAAGAACTCTTACGGCTTCGTGAGAACCAACTTTCTGAATCCGTCTCTCAGAATAAAATACTACTTCAGAGGATCGAAGATTCTGATCTGGCCCACAAATTGGAGAAAGAACAGTTAGAATATATCATTGTGGAGCTTCAAGACCAGCTGTAAGTGAAACACTTTTATGAAAACATTGACAATGCATGAACACCACCATGGAATGTGCTTTGTTGTATGATTTAAATTCCAAGAAATCTAGTAGCATCTCTTGGAGGTTCTTACTTTTTTAAAGTTAATTCTGTTCCTTACTAGAAAAGTAATCTGTTTTCATTGTGATAAAATTATAAAACATGAGATAAAATTAAAATCATCCTCAGCATTCAATTCAATGTACATTCTAAATGCATTTGTTTATTTTTTAAGTTTTCATGTTGTTTTTACAGTGCTGGGCATCAAACTTACTGAGGCCTGTTCCCAGCCCTAAACATTTATGTAGTTGCACTAGCTATCAATTGACTGCAGAATGATTCTACATAGACCATTATCATTCAAGCTCAGTCCTGATAAATGAAACCAATACCAGGCTCTGCCAGGATTTCACTGTGCAGAATTTAATGCAATCTCCTTTTAAAAACTTGTGTAGCAAGCAGTTTTTAGATGAACGAAGCTGTGGTGTATGGAAATGCATTCTGGTAGGAGCTCCTTCACCGTTGCTGTTCAAAGCACTCACACTAATTCTACCACTTGTTAAGCTTACATTGATTGTTTATAGAAAAAAATCTACATAATAGTTTCTACTCTTAAAGGATGATTTTTAAATATTATTAGACTTCTAGGAAAAATACAAAGATTAGTACACAGAATTTTCATCTTATTTTATAAGATTCATCAGATTTTAACATTTACCTTGTAGCCCCTCCCTCTTCTCACACACATGCAGATCTTTAACCACTTAGATGTCTTATGCATTATCATATGTCTTTGTGCCTTGTGCTTCTGTGTGTGGGATGTTTACTGGAGAATAAAGATATTCTTATGTATAATGAATGTCCATAAATCAGTTTAGAAGGTCAGATTAGTTGAATACTTTAATTTTCTCCATCACACATATGTCAGTATCATTAACTGTTCTAAGAATGCCCCTCAGTGTAGTTCTGCTTGTCACCAGATCCAATGTAGGAGTGTTTTTATTTTATTCCGTTTTTAGTCACTTTAAACTTAGAGAAGTTTCTCAGTTTGTCTCACCTAGATTGATACTAATTAGAAATACAACCAAGCAATTTTTATCATATTTAATTGCGTTTCTTTGTGTTTGCTTTGAATTTACCCATTTCTTTTACTGAACTATAACATAAGTTAAATATGCCTTCAGAGTGTAACACTCAAAAGCGTGTGAAGTCTGTTGGCACTTTATTGATATAGATTTTAATGAGCTAAACAACTATTCTTAAATATTCTGTCTTTTGTAACTGATGCTATTCCCCTTTGTAGTTGATACATAAGAGAGGAGATAGTCTAAAACCAAATAAACACAAATAGTTTTTATTTTACTTACTTGCTTTTTTGTTTGTTTGTTTATTGGTTTGGGGGGGTTGGTTTTTTATTTTGATTTTGGTTTTTTGGGGTGTTTGTTTGTTTGTTAGTTTATTGGTTGGGGAGTTGGGTTTTTTTTTTTATTTTGATTTTGGTTTTTTGGGGTTTTGTCTGTTTGTTTGTCTGTTTCTTTTGAGAGAGAGTCTCACTGTGAAGCCTTAGCTGTCCTGGAATCTTGGAACTCACTATGTAGAACAGGCTATCCCAGAATTCATAGAGATACTTCTGCCTCTGCCTCAAGAGTGCTGAGACAAGATGGACACCATCACACCTGGCAGGCAATGGCTTTCAAAAGAAAGAAATCCTATTAATAAACAAATAAAACCCACAATATTTTCCAGGAGTTTGTATATTGATAAAAATAACTATGTCCAGTCGTGGTTCCTCTTACTTCTAATAATGTTGAGGGCTTGTTGTTCGTCAGTTGAGAGCACATTCCATATTACCCTAGCTTCTGTTCAACTGGATGAAAATAGCAAGACCAAAGTAATAGAGATGGCCGGGTATTCCTTTATAATTAAAAGATTAACAAGGTAATTACACATTTCTTCTTAAGTAATACTTGAAGCTCATCTAACTATTTTCACCATAAAATCAGTTTTGATGAGCTGGACCGACCCATTGCATGAGCCTATAATCTCAGCACTGAGAAGCAAAGGAGAAGCATCATGAGGCTAAACCCATCCTGGGCCATTATAGAACAAGCCTTTGTCTTTGGAAATTAAATATAAATAAAATAAAAGTTAGTTTTACTTTACTAAAAATCTTTTATTAAAGAATTAAACTTGGTAAGTTTATTTTACCTTTGATAATTTAAATGAAGAATCCCTTTTTTTAGTTTGAAAAAAATAATTCATCTGTGTTATAGTTTTAGTATAGAAAAATAAAACTGTATCATTGATCCTTTTGTTTTTGTAAAGGAACTTTACACTTATTCCTAATACCTTTAAAAAGATTTTAACTAAAACAATAAAGCAACAAATAAAAAGTTGTGTTCAAAGCTGTATAGGTGGCTCAGTGAGTAAGAGCACTGGCCGCTCTTCCAGGGTACCCAGGTTCAATTCCCAGCACCTACATGGTGGCTCACAGCTGTCTATAACTTCAATTCCAGGTGACCTGATGCCTTTTTCTGGCCTCCATAAGCATCAGGTACAGATGTGGTACAGAGACATACATGCAAACTAAACATCCATACACATAAAATGAAATAAACATTTTAAAATGTACCGATTGATAAAAGTGGACTGTTTTTGATTGATAAAGAGTTGGACTGTTTCTTTGGGTTTAGAAGTTTCAGATTTACCTTGAAGTAATAGAGCTGTATCCTCCAGATTGTTTTAAGCTGTCTCCAAGATTCCTTTGCATAAAACTATTTTAGAAGACAAAGAGCAAGAGAACGAGATAATTCCTACATGAGTAGTCTCATTTTATTACGTAATGCTATTCAGATTTAAGATGCACAGTAGTGTATTTTTGCAGCTATAGAGAAGTGTGAGCATTTTCTTCTTAATGCTGAGGGCCTTCATCCATAGTCATGAAGCCTGCATCAGACCTGGATACTGGAGTTTCTTTTGTTCCTTCTGACAAGAAAAAGGCAACCTGGAGAAAATAAAACATTTAAATACATCAATGTAAAACTCAAAAGTGGGATATTAAGAGACAGAAGAGACACATAATGCTAATTTCTACATGGGTTAAGTATCTTATCTTGGTGATTCGAGACCTTTTCCACTCAGCTTGCTTTTATGTTTAACATTTCTTAATATATGTCATTTGAATTATATTTTGCTTGTGTACTACATGCATCACTAAATTACAGTGTTACTAGAACTACAAAATGCTCGTACTTTATAAGCTTTTCTATCATCTAACACCAAGACAATTAAAATAGTAAAGGTCACAGACAGAAAGCAGAATAGCCGGGCATTATAGACAGGACTTACTGGCTTTGTCCTATTTTTATTGTTTGTGTATATATGATTTCAGGAGCTACAGTTTTTTCCATTAATTTTTTTTGTTGTTTTAAATACATCTCAACCACAGTTTGCCCTCCCTCCAGTTCCCTCCCTCACTCCCAGATCCACCTCTTCTCTCTTTCTCTTTAGAGAAGAGCAGACCTCCTAGGGATGTCAGCTGAATATAACATAATGTAATTAGACTAGGCACAAACCCTCTTATCAAGGCTAGATGAGGCAATCCAGTAGGCGGAAAAAAGGTCCCAAGAGCAGGCAAAAGGGTCAGAGACAACCCCTACTCCCACCATTAGAAGTCCCACAAGAACACCACATAACTGTGGGTCTGCATTCTGCCTCGCCACTGGGGTGTGTGAACACCACTTGGGCAGACGAAAGGAGAAGGCACTAGGCTACATTGCTTCCTCTCTGCAATGGTGGTGCTGGGCTCTGTGATCCTCTATGAGCCTTGCATAGTTAATGCTGTGAGCTGTGTTCTAGTGGTGTTCTTGAGCACTCTGTCTCCTACCATTCTTCTTCCCTGTCTTCTGTAGGGTTCCCTGAGCTCCAAGAGGAGAAAACTGATGGAGATATCTAATTTGGACTGTCTCCCTACCGAATGTTTGGTTTGTGGGTCTCTGCATCTGGTCCCATCAGCTATAGGATGAGACATCTCTGATGACAGTTGGGCTAGGCACTGATCTGGACTTCTGGCAACCAATGTGCCTCTCTGCAATAAGCAGTTAGGGGGCTCATCTCTGGGAGAGGCTTGTCTCTACAATCTTTAGTTTCCTATGATTCTTTGTCTAGACGTTAGACTCCATGAGACTTCTCCCTTTCTGTGTTACTGTGTCCATTAATACTACTACTGTTCAGATCTTCTTCAGGCAGCTATTTGTAGGAGACACAGTCTCACCGACTTCTGGTCCTCTGACTCTTAGAATCTGTCTGCCACATCTTGTGGTTGAGCCTTAGATGGGGTAGTTGCATTGTAGAAATATCCATTAGGGCCGGACTTCCCACTATCCATTGGTCTAATTTCAACACCTATTAGAATTTTAAGTAAAATGTGAAATATTGCATATTTATCTTTAGTTACATTGCATATTTATCTTTAGTTACATTGCATATTTGTCTTTAGTTACTGGTTTAATAATGACTAACTGGATTAGTTAATGATTAAATAGGAATTATTTGATAATTTAAGGTAAAGTCATTTTGAGGCTAGGCACAGATAAGTTGATTCATGACCCACAGAATCAACTGATGAGGACTCAACTGTGCTCACAGAGATCAGGGAACTTGTATGGGTCCGACCTTGGCCCACTGTACCTATGTTATGATTGTGTGGCTGAGTGTTCTTGTGGGATTCCTAATAGTGGTAGCAGGAGCTCTCTGACTCTTTTGCCTGGCTTTGGGACCCTCTTCCTCCTACTGTGCTGCCTCATCCAGCCTGGACGTGAGAATATGAACCTGGTCTTATTGTAGCTTGTTATGCTGTACTTGGTTGAAGTCCCCGGAAGGTCTGCTCTTTTCTGAGGGGAAGTGAAAGGGGGGCAGGAAAGGGGAGATGAGGGAAAAGTTCAGCTAGGATGTAATATATGAAAGCAGAATAAAATGGG